GTGTTTCTAGAAATTTATCCATTTCCTCTAGGTTTTCAAATTTTTGGAGTATAGTTTTTCATAATATTCTGTTATAATCCTTTTTATTTCAGTTGCCAACCCATGGTATTTTCAATCGCCTCATATGATGCGAAAGCTGGGCAATGAATAAGGAAGACCGAAGAATTGATGCCTTTTAATCATGGTGTTGGAGAAGAATATTGAGTATACCAAGGACTGCCAGAAGAGCAATCAAATCTATCTTGGAAGAAGTACAGCCAGAATGCTCCTTAGAAGCAAGGATGGCAAGACTTCATCTCATGTACTTTGAACATGTTATCAGTAGGGGCCAGTCCCTGGAGAAGGACATCATGCTTGGTAAGGTAGAGGATCAGCAAAAAAAATAAGGACCCTCAACAAGATGGATTGACACAGTGGCTGCAACAATGGGCTCAAACATAGCAATGATTATGAGGATGGTGCGGGACCAGGCGGTGTTTCGTTCTGTTGTGCATGGAGTCCCTGTGAGTCGGAAGTGACTCGACAGCACCTAACAACAACAACAAAGGTAGTTCTACGTTTAACTTTTTGAGGAACCACAGAGGCTGCACCATTTTACAATCCCACCAGCAATGGATGAGGGTTCCAATTTCTCTACATCCTTGCCAACACTTGTTATTTTCATTTTTCTGTTAATATCCATCCTGGTGGAGATAAAGTGTTATCTCATTATGATACCTGCATTATAGAATGCACTTCTACTCCACACACATGGGATCGCCATGAGTTGGGTGGACCCAACAACAGCTAACAACAGCAACAATATTGTGGTTTTGATTTTCCTTTCCCCAATGACTAATGAAATTGAGTGTCTTTTCATGTGCTTATTGGCCATTTATATGTTTTCTTTGGTGAAATATCCATTCAAGTCCTTTGCCTATTTTTAAACTGGGTTATTTGTTTTTTTGTTTTTTGTTGTAGGTGCTGCAATTATTTCTTTAGGATAAAATTCTAGAAGTGGGCAAAAACGCAGGTATAAAAGCGTAAATATATACATTTATATCTATTCATCTATTATCTAACCACATACAAAAGATTATTTGTTATATCTGGGGAGGTTGGGATTTAGCTAAATTTTAATTTTTTTTTCTTTGTGTTTGTGAGTATTTTCTAAATTTTTTTCAATGAACATTAACAGCCTCTATGTCCAGAAATGGTCTGGCATTCACAGCTAGACCTCAATATTATTACAAGTTGGTCTGATGCTCACAGACCATTTTGTTCTGCTGTTTTCCAGTTCTCTGTTCACAGAACTGCAACCTCAGACAAGGTTACTCTGAGCATTATTACTTCATGATAAAATGAAACAAAACAAGGCCACTTCATAATTTTGTCTAAGCACATACAAGACAAGATCACTGTGCTGCCCACAAAATACCAGATTGAATTGTCCCACCATCCTGACAGCACCCAATCTATAACTAACTCACGCTTCCTTAGACCTTCTCTCAATTCACCCAACTAAAGCTCAAATTCTCTAATAGTTTCTTTTAACACCCTCTTATTGAGACACCCTGTGATTCCCCATGGTGTGTGTTCTCCCTCACTGCAATGAGTAACGGGTGGTGCAAGTGGTTAATAAGCTCAGCTGCTAACTGAAAAGTTAGAGGTTTGAGTCAGCCCAGAGGCACCTTGGAAGAAGTCTAGCGATCTACGTCCGAAAAATCAGCCATTGAAAACCCTATGGAACAGTTTTACTCTGACACAAGTGAGATTGCCATGAGTTGGAATCCACTTGATGACAACTAACAACAGGTGTTTTCCTGGTGGCCTTATGCTGAAGGGCATTGGCAACATGTATCAATTACATTTCTAAAAAGAAAAAAGCAATACAAGTTACTTTTTTTAAGTAAAAAAGACAAGAATGATTGGGGGCCAATCTTCTCATCCCCTCATACAAGGAGGTTGCTCAACTGACTTCAGCTCGCTCCTTGCAGTGGCCTAAAGCCTTTGGTGGGTGGGAGTTATCTAGCCCTGCCAGAAAGCACTGTGCATGAATGGCCAGTTGCTGGCCACTGCACAATGCTTCAGGAAGAAAGCTGGGCCGGCGGTCACTTCCCAAAATGTGTCTCTATCACCCCTCAGTCAGAACAGCTCCTGGCTACTTGGGTCCAGCCTCTGTCCCTACTTGGCACCACCACTCTGCCATCCCAGATGGCCAGGGGCTTTCAGCATTTAAATCTGGGCCTTAATCTAGTTATAGGAGCCTCATAAAGACCCTGTTCTCTGTGACCAGCCTTGGGTTCTAATATGATTGCAGGGTTGCAGGGCTGACCTGGGGCATGAATAGTGAAGAGCAGACCACAACTTCTTAGCTGAGCTGAGCATCCCCTGTCCCCCCAGTACTGTGAATGGAGCCTACCTCCTTGGACTTCAGCATTTAATGCGTGAGACCTGAGTGAGACTGCTCCTCATCCATCAAGGAAGGCTCAGCTTTATCCCGAAGACCTGGTAACTTTGCCCAGCACCCACCCCAGCTCTGGGCCTCACGCTCCTGTAGGCCTCCCAGGCCTGGTGGGCATCTGTCTGAAAGAGCCCGGATTACAGTGAATTGCATGATGTGTTTATGTGTAGGTTCCCCCAACCAATTTGGGAGGCTCTTGAAACAAGGGACTGTGCTTTATTCATTTTATACACCCAGTGACTGGTCCAGAAAATACTCTCCATCAACGTGTGATTCATTAGAGAGGGAGGAAGGCAGTGAGGTGACAGAGTCTTGTCCCCCAACCAAACTGCAAGCTGCCTGAAATCAGTGGCTTCACCTCCTTCCCCTCCCCACAGTGAAACTGGCACGAGATTGGGTTTAGGGTGGGCATTTAGATCAGTGATGGCTTCGTTCAAGATTCAAAAATTCTCCACCTGCAGGGCTTCTGGATAATATCTTTATTTAGCTTAGGTATTTGTTTGCCAAACATTTCTGGATACTTGGGTTAGAATTTTCTCTACTGTATTAAATAAATGGTTCTTAAGCTCTTAAATGTGATAAATGCAAACATGCAAATACAATGTAGGCTAGAATAAAAATGTCCCTACATACAAACATTTAAAAAAGACGTTTTAATACAGGGTATAGAGAAGGGAGTCCAGTAGAAGGTGACTGAAATAACCCCTGTCCATCCTCACTGTAGCCGTGGTCCTGAAGCCTGGACACCAGCGCTCCCTCTGACCCCTGCAACTCTTAGGGAGAGAAGTCTGCAGTCCCTCTTGGGCAGGAACAGCGGCCTCACAAGGCCAGGAGGCAGCCCTGTTCCTGCCTGCAGGGAGGGCAGAAGAAGGCAATCCTCTAGGCACAGTGTCCCAGACCCGTGTGGTTAGATGTCTCAGCCTTGTTCAAGCAGGGTGGCCACCTCTGTGCCAGTATCTTGAGCTGCCTTCACTCTTGATGACTCCCAATAGTTAAAGTCAGTCAGTCCCCCAGGAAGCCAGCCAGCTGCTGGCCCCCGGGCTTCCAGAGAACTCTTCAGAAGTTCTCAGAGGCCTCAGGACCTCCTAACCCTACTGGGCCTCCTAACACAATCACACTTCGGAAGGTTCCATCGTTTCCTATGTGGCCTCTGCTATGCCCACTGTTTGTGGTCAGCATGCAGAGGGGCAAGTCCAGGATAGGGAGCTGTCGCAGCCCCTCACATGGGGCACCATCTGTCGCAGCGAGCGGCGGAGACAGTAACCAATGCCACAACTCTTACAGAGAAGTGGGGCCAGGAGGGTCACTCTGAGGAGTCAACCCCACTTCAGTCCCAGGAGTTTATTTTATAGTCAATACAGCAAGCAACAAAGCAATTAACAAAACAATGGGGTCTGGGTGTGGGCAAGGGAGAAGGAATTCAGGTAAACAAGCCAATCAGTAAAGGGACAATAGGTTTGGGAAAACAAATCGTGACAAGTCTCAACATGTTGGAGACAAGTCTCAACACATTGGAGACAAGTCTCAACATGCTGTGCAGCATAGAGGCCTGTGGGGACTGCAGTTGTCAACAGTGCAGCCATGTTTAAATGGCATATATCCCCCCAGGGAGCAGGCATGATTTCTCAGGCTCAGTCATATACAGACAGCAAAAAGTCAGTCAGACCAATATCTGTGGGTTTCCAGCTGAAGCTGAGACCCCCGGGCCAGCCCCCTGGCCTGGCTGCCCAGACAGACCAGGTTAACAGGGTCTAGCCCTCAAGCATTCAGCCTAAGAACGCAGCTGCACCTGGAAGTGTTCACAGCGGGCATGCTTCATGGTCAGCCCATAGATGGGAGTCATGTCCACCTTCACACCTGGTGACACGCTGAACTCCACCTGCTGCAGCAGGATGGCCAGGAAGAGGAAGACCTCCAAGCGGCCAATGGTCTCCCCGATGCAGTTCCGCTTGCCCATGCCGAAGAGCGTCACCTTCTCTCTCAGTGCCCTGTGGATGGTGCCGTCGGTGGTGAGAAACCTTTCCGGCCGGAATTCGGATGGGTCACCCCATAGCTTCCTGTAAGCAGAGTGAGGCAGCTGAAGTGGCAGCTTGGGGGCTAGAAAGCATCAAGTGGGTTGATCCCCAGCCCCAAAGGGCAGGGGATAGGCAAATGGCCCAGGGACAGGAGAGTCTGAAGCCTGGGAGATGGTGGGCCCAGCCAGCCCTCTCAACTTACTGGTCATGGTTGATCTGCCACTGGTTCACAAAGACACAACGTCCCTTGGGGATGTAAAAGCCACTCAGACTTGTGTCTCTCGTGGTGCTGGGGAGGGAAGGAAGCTTGGTCAGGCTCAGGACCACAAGGATATCCCCCCTATCTCCCATGCCATGTCCCTCCCACTAGCCCTGAGTCAAATCATGGACTGGGATAAGGCACAGCATTAGACAGCAGTGGATCAGTGGGGCCTCACCTGTGGGGGATGGTGAAGGGGATGAAAGACGAGTGTCGGAAGGTCTCCAGGATGAAGGCCTCCAGATAGGGGAGCTGGAGCCTGTCAGAGAGTTGGGGCCGCCGTGCCCTGCCAATCACTGTGTCTGCAGAACGAAAAAGACCAGATGGGGCTAAGGGGCTGCCCAGACCTTGGTCAGGCCCCCTGCCTTGAGCCCTTTGAAGGGGACCATCACCTACCCAGCTCCTCCTGGATCTTGCTCTGCACCCTGGGGTTCGTCACCAGGTACATGAGGCTCCAGGACATGGCAGTTGTGATTGTGTCAAACCCTGGACAGGGTAGAGAAAAGGGAAAAGTTAGGCAGATGGTAAGTCAGGAAAGTTGGGTACAGGAAAGACACAATAGGGTAGCTCATACCAGCTCCAAAGAGGTCCATGACAACATTAACGATCTTCTTGTCCGACAGCTGGATATTTGCGTTTTCATCCAGCTTCCTGTCCTGACAATGCTTGATTAGGCTGTCTGTGATATCCCGGATGTGGGCCTTGGTGGGAGGGTCCACAGGTGAGCAAGATCCCAAATGCCAACCTACCTGTCCATCTAGGCCTGGTCCTTCACCATCCCTAGAACCTTTGTTGAAGAGGTGACCCCTCTCTGGGACTGCATCCCAGCTACTCTCTGCCTTTCCAAGGATCTCTCCTGCCTCAGAATACTAGTAGTCCCAACTCAAGGGGCACCTGACACACATCATCTGGTACCATTATTATCTTGTCATGCTTTTAACCTTTCCTCTCCCTGAGGCTAGGAGACAAAGTCTTTAACTCTTCCTGGTCCCCACACAGCCAGCTCAGGGCCCTGCAGAGTGGCTATTTGGTGAATATTGCTGTCCAATAGATGGGTGGAAAGGCTGGTCAAGAAAAAGTCCTATGTCCCAGCCAAGGATGGAGTCTGCTCTGCTACTGGCTCCTAAATCCTAGATGAGGACTCCCTGAGAGCCTGTCAAACCCCATGCTGCTCCAATCTCTGACTTCCTGGCCCCTGAACCTACCTGCCCCAACAGCCCACCTGTCTCTCCCCAGCCTGTACCTTTTCAAATGTTTTGTAGTGCTCCTTGACTATCTTCTGTGTGAAACTGTACAACTTTTCATTCAACTCCTTGAAGACCTTCAGGGTGGAGTTGGGTAGGTAACGGAGGATGGGAATGAAGTCAGCTGGGTTCCCTGAGGTGACCACCTCCCCGAACTCATTATTCACGTTGACTATGCTAAGCAGTTCTTGGTGGTCGTGGTCATAGCGTTGGCCAAAGCACATGGCACAGATGACGTTGGTCACTGATACCACCATGTACCTGTAGGGGTCAAAGTGCCCAACCTCTGCCATCAGCTCCTGGAACTTGCTGATGAGGTACTCAGCCTCCTTGCTCACGTGCTCCTCCAGGTAGCAGGAGAATGAGGAAGCTGGGTCTGAGGCCGTAGAGAAGTTCTTCAGGGCTTTCTGGGCCAGGCGTCGGCGGGTGGCCCACACTGGTCCAGAGTCAGGGCTGAAGGTCATGCTCTGGCCATCCATGATGAGGGTGAAGCTGTAGAGGTCAGGCCGGCCCTTGAAGTCATCGCCCTGCCGCACCAGGGCCTGCCGGATAGTGTCCAGGCCGCTCAGCACCAGCACGGGCGTGGAGCCAATGCGCACCTGCATCACGTCCCCGTACCGCTGGCTCAGCCGCGTCAGCGCGAGGTGCGGGTTCTTCCCCAGGGTCAGAATGTGTCCAATCAGGGGCCAGCCCCAGGGCCCCGGGGGACTCTTTAGGCCTTTGGGGACCTGAGGTTTCCAGGCCCTGACCACCCAGAATACCAGGCAGAAGACAGCAGAGGCCAGGAGGAGCTCCGTGGCTGAGATGGGGAGTCCAAATTCAGAAAGCATGATCAGCTCAAAGATCTTAAGGTGGCTCCTGAGAGGTAGAGCAGGAGGGAAAGAGCAAGACATCAGATTGGGGGATGGAAAGAGCCAATATCCTAAAGTGTCAGCATGTTGGTCAAGGAAAGGGGAAACCCTCTCACCCAGAACTGCCCTCTGTGGGAAGGGGAAGAGGAGGTGAGGAGAATCTGTTTGTTTAGCTCCCACTCGATGCCAAGAATTTCACAGTCATTGCTTTCTTGAGTCTTGTCCACAAGCCTGCGAGGTAGGCTGCAGTGAGGCTCAGAGAGGGTAACTTGCCCAAGGTCTCACAACCAAAAAGTGTTGGCTGTAGGCTCCCAACCCAAGTTGCCCAATTCCAGAACACTTCTCTTAACTGCTGCACCAATCTACAACATTTTCCAAATGTCAGTGTGATTTCCATACAGCACCCGTACTATTATTTATTTCAGTGTTTCCTAAAATCAACTTTAAATCCACCCACTTAGCATCATCCTAAACAATAATATCTGTGTGAAAGTCCAAGTTTGTTTTTTCCTAATATTAAAACAAACACATCATCAATATGTAGCACCAAAAATTCCTTTAAGTACTACCCACCATGCTTGGGAAAACTCTGCTATCAAAGGAATTAGAGCTTATCAGCTCCATTAACCTCATTTCACATTTGGGGAAACTGACCTCCAGAGGAGGCACCGACTTGCCTAAAGTCACCTATCCATCAGTGACAGAGCCAGGACTAGGGCTCAGACCTCTTTGAAAAAGTTCCCTGGGAAGCTTCGAGCTCATGTGACAGGTTCCACCCTTTGAAAAGTAGTCAGATCAGAGAAGGAACTGTCCCAGGACCCTCAGTTCTCTACCGCTTAATCCCAGGCTCTAGGAAATCCCACAAGACCCCAGGACAGAGTGGGGAGGGGACAGGGGACAAGGAGGGCCACTGCCCAAGCCACACTGCTCTCAGCCCCAGGTACATGAGGCTAAATTCAACTGTCCCACAGTTTGAAAGTAGCTGAGACCAGCTCGATCGAGGCTCCTGGTAACAGAAATCCAGGCCAGGGTTTTTGTTGTGCTCAATTCTCAATGAATGAATGGTCAGGGCCTCCCCCACTTGCCAGTCACCCTGAGAGCTGAAAATAAATGGAAGGGTACCACTAACCAGGGCTGCAAGAAAAGTCCAGACTGGAATTCAAGGAATCAGGAATGGATCTAGACTTAGGCTGGGCTGAGCCAATACTTTCTAGGTTTGGCCTAGGGCAATCTGTAGAGGTGTGCAAATTCATAGACCACTCTCTCCAAGGCATTGGGCTCTGAGCATTTGCCTGGTGTCCTGGACTGGCAATCAGGAGACCCGGTGCTCCAGGCTCCATGGAGTGTCGTTGGACTGGTCATTTTATATTTCTGGGCTCCAGTCATATCACCTGAGAGAGAACCTAGGACAACATCAGCCTACTTGGATCCCAGGGAAGTGAAGATGCAGATTTGCACTTGTAACCTCACAGTCTGACTGGTAAGGTTCCCCCATAGAGAAGCACCTAAGACAGGGGTCCCACCACAAGAGGACTGTATGGTTCCTACCACAAGCACTATAGCCATCTTCATAGTCTAGGGAGGCTTCCTGGAGAAGGTGAATCCCAAAGCACACTCAAGCCCTAACTTCCTGAGGAGGCCCTAGGGTGCATGGTGTTCCCTTCTGCACAATGGGTGCCCCAAGGACCTCTAGCCTTAGTAAGATGGTAGGAGGCTAAGGGGATGGGAATGGTGAGTTCTCAAGGTCATATTTCTGTTCCAGCTCCCTGCGGCTGGCAAACTCACACGCTGACTGCCCCACAACAGAGGACAGGGAAGACAGTCAATGGGATAGGGAAGTCCCTCTTGCCAGGCCAGAACATCTCAGCTCTGACAAGCCACCCCTTGGGAGAGCAGACTCAGCCTAGGGTAGCTTTTAGATAGGGCAGGGTACATCTGGTAAGAAACAAGCCTGCCCCCTCAATCCATCCGGACCACCCAGGGAGAAGCCTCCGTCATCACACAGCCTGAGGGAGGGGCTGCACACGCTCCCAGCTTCCCTAAGCTGTGTCCTCACACCAGCCTCACAGGCAACCCTGTTGGGGAAACCGCAGGTGGTCAAGGCGGGTGGTAAAGCTGGAGCCAGAGATGGGGGCCATCTCTAAGTCTGTTACTAGCTTTGGGACCTTGGGCAAGTCCTGCTCTTCCTCTGGCCTCAGTTTCCCCACCAGGGGACTAGACTGCCTGGACTCTTAGGACATTCTTTGTCTCCTTTTTCAGAGGTGCTGACCAGTGGCTACCTAGGAAGACCTGAAAGGCATCAAGATTTTCCTTTTATTGGCGGGAAAGAAGCGAGCCAGGAGCCCCCAGCACTCACCTGTGGTTTCCAAGAGGGGTTGAGCTGAGGTGCAAGAGTGGTCTCTGGAACCAGGGACCCCAAAGAGGAGCAAGGAAGGTTCCAAGAAACTGTCACCTTTAGGGTGAAGGCACAGCCACCTTTATAGGCTCCTGCGCACGTGGCCACGCCTCCCTCCCTGAAGCGTGCGGATGGGACCGGGGAGGGGCAGCCTAAAGGTGGGGGAGGGGGGCTAGTAGCTCTAGGATGGGAGGGGAAGACGAGGAAACAAGCAAGAATCCACTATGGTGACGCCTTATCTAGGTGCAGGCACGTAAATGGGTGAGGGTTGGGGGCACCTTGGACTCCCCAATTCCAAGGTACCCCATGGACAGTGCAGAGTCCAGCTGAGGCGGGGGGGGGCTTGGGGGGAAGTCCTGGGACCGCCCGGAGAAAAAGGGTATGGGGATCCCACTCCCGGGCATGAGGACGCCTCTCCCTCATTTTTGCACCCATCGGAATTCTGGATGAGCCAGTGCCTCCCCGACCCTGCAAGCCGACGGGGTACAGGCAGGCAGAGGCGGGGCTGCTGGGTGACGACCTCCTTCCCCCGGGTAACTGAATCCCGGCGGCTGCGTGAGAAGCGCGGCGACTCCAGCACCGAGGTCAAGGGGGCCGGAAGGCCCGAGGTGCCGGTGGACTGCCCTGGCCCCCAGAGCCCGGTCGCCTGACAGGAGTTCGCGCTCCTGGACCGAGGGGCGGGAATGGATGGCGGACACGCAGTCCGGCTGAGCGCTCACTGGGGGCTGGCGCCTCCTCTAGGGCCACCTAAGGCTTGCTGCAACCTAGAGCGACCTCCAACTGGACCCACTGGCCTTCGAGATTCCCTTTTGGCGCACGGGCTTGCTAGCACTTTGGCAGGGCAGAGAAATCGGGCAGCCAGTGGGGCTGCGCGGTTAGCTCTGGGTGGCAATGGAAAGGGTTAGAGCGTAAGCCCTCGCTCGGGCCGGGGAGGGAAAGGGGCCTTAGGACAGAGGAAGGGGGCGCACGGCGCAGATCCCACCCCAGGCTAGCGTGCGTGCGTCTGGCACATCCCTCCAGGGACCGAGGTCACGCGGCCCGTCCCCGCCCCACCTGGAGGGGGGCGCGGTGCCCGGGAGTTGCGTGAGAAGGGCCCGGAGAGCCGTCCAACTCCCGAACCCAGCGCGGGTCCCAGCACAGTCACGCGAGGGGGTTGGGCAGTCGGGGCGGGGCTCTTAAAGGGCCAGTCTCTCTCGGGCAGTGGTGTAGAGGGAGATCAGCCGCAGAGCCAGAGCTCTGAGGCCTGGAGAGAGCCCCACGGGTGCGCTGTTGGATGGGGGAGGGGGCGGTGCAAAGGGCCCAGGCTTGCGTGCGGAGCCCGGCTCGTGCTTCCAAGCGGGCGCCTGTGTGTGCTACCGGTTTTGGTCCACGCCTGTGGCAGGGCACGCAGCCCCAGCGCCGCCCGGCACGCCTGGCTACCTGCCTCGCAGTCTGTCTCTGCCACTGTCGGGCCCTCCCGAGGTAGAAATTTCGTGTCTAGCTCAGCCTGACCCCAACTAGCATCATCACTAACCCCTCAGCATTCTCCCTATCCTAGCCTATGGCCCGGGCCAGAAAACAGGGCCTCATCCCTCCCCCTCACCTCCCACTCATGTATTGCACAAATATTTACCAAGCGCCTACTGTGTGCCAAGCGCTGTTCCGGGCACTGGCAATAGGTGTAGACGTGAACAAAACTGACAAGGCTCTTACATTCTGGCGTGGGGAGACAGATAATAATATATCGCAAAATGCAGAGAATGACAGAAGGTGAAAAGTGCCTGTAGAGAAAAATAAAGCAGAGAACGGGTAGGAATTACTTGGGGCAGGTTGGAAATAGGGTGGTCAGAGAAGGCCTACCAGAGAAGGTGATACCGAGCAGAGACAGAGAGTGTGGAATGGAATCACGCAGGCATCTGAGAGAAGAGTGCACTTGGCAGAAAGAACAACAGCAAGTTCAAAGGCCCTGCACAGTGGTTCTTGGGGATGGGGGGTGTTGGAATTGAAAATGTGCAGCAGCATTCTTCCGTGGTGCCTGGGGAATACTGGCATTTAGTACCTGAGGGATGGAATGTCTGTGGGAACAGCCCTTTTCCATGCACAAGGAGCACCCCCACTGAGAAACACGGACTTCCTATGCATGAAATGGAGACATTGGTGGGCTCTGAGCAGAGCAAGATCACTCTGGCTAGGGTGCTGAAGACAGACTGACAGAACAAGGATACATTTCTCCACTCTGACATCTCTCCAACCCCACTGCCACATCCTGGTCCAGGCCCCCATCATTGCTCCCTAGAGTACTTAACAGCCACCTAAATGGGTTCCCCACTTGCCTTTCGCTCCCCTTAATTCTTTTTACATCCTGTGACACCCAGAGTGGTCTTTTCAAAAATGCAAAAGTTTGGGGATTTCCAGCCAACATGGCACTATAGGCAGAAGCACCACGCCATCCCTCCATAGCAAAGATCCGATAAACTAAACCAAACAGAGAAAATGGCAATCCTGAAACCCGAAGCATCAAGTGAAAAGATAAAGAACTCAGCCAAACACCGAATGGAATAAGAAACTGACAGAGAACAGAGAGCAAGGAGAGATACATGCAGAGGTCCCCTATCAGCTAACCCAGCATGGATCT